AACTTGCACTTATCTTGCTGTGCAGTGCTAACCACTAAAACTAAAACACCACTGTATCAGTCACCATGAAAAAAAGATAAAAAATCCAAATCAATGTATTTATCACAATTTTCTAATACATACTTTAGTATGTATTAGCTTTTTTGTATACCTGGATTATTGAGCATGGACTTTGTTGTTACATACTTTAGTATTTTAAACTTTCTAGCTTATCTTAAATTTTTGCAAATAACCAAATCTGTAATGTGTTATCAACCACAGCACAATGACACAATGAAAATATCCAATCAAAGCTATCCTACATGTCTCCGATTGGATAATGGGAGTGTAGTAACCCTCATATAAGTAACAAAAACTGATCTCACACTTTATATGGGTGACTCTTTTTCATCAGAATCCATAGTCATGGATATGTCACTAGTATTAACAGGGCTTCTTGTCATGGGGCTCCTAATAGTATATGTCACAGTGGAGGAGGGAAGTTCTTCCTGTCAGATACAGGGTAGTCCAGAGGTCTCTCTGCTGTCTAAAGAAGGAAATGTGATGATTGGAGGTGCCTTTTCTATCCGCAGCAAAATCACCCAACCTCCACTTTTCTTTACAGAGAAACCAACTCGTCTAGAGTGTTCCAGGTAATGTTGAACTGTATGCAAAATAATTGTCAAATATTTCATGTATTAGTTAAAGTAAGCTAATATTATACTGTTCTTGTCCCAGTGTTAACCTAAGGGAGTTTCGATTTGCCCAGACCATGGTATTTGCCATTGAGGAAATAAATAAAAACAAAGCTCTTCTTCCCAATGTTTCCATTGGGTATCGGATTTTTGACAACTGTGGCTCAACATTAACCTCAATGCGTGCAGTAATGGCTTTACTGAATGGTGACCGGGGGACATTGGGAAATAGTTGCCTTGGCCAGTCAACTGTCCATGCTATTATCGGGGAGTCTGAGTCTTCTTCAACCATTGTGCTTTCACAAACCACAGGACCATTTAAAATACCAGTGGTAAGAGGGATACCAAAGCCACCAATGTTTTATTAAATGCAAAGCCACTGTGTTGTTTAATTAGCAACTTTCTGTTTTGCATTGATAGATAAGTCATTCAGCTACTTGTGAATGTTTGAGCAACAGGAAGGAGTATCCCTCATTTTTTAGAACAATTTCAAGTGACCTCTATCAAAGCCGTGCCCTCGCCCAACTGGTAAAACACTTTGGCTGGACCTGGGTGGGAGCAGTCAACAGTGACAGTGACTATGGCAACAACGGCATGGCCATTTTCCTTGCTGCAGCCCAGGAGGAAGGAGTGTGTGTAGAATACACTGAGAAATTTAACAGAAATGAGCCAGAAAAACTTGTTAAAGTTTTAGAAGTGATCGAAAAGAGCACTGCTCAGGTCATTGTTGCCTTCCTTGCCCATGTGGAAATGAACAACCTGCTAGAGCAGATGAGTTTGCGTAACATCACAGGTCGACAGTTCATCGGTGTGGAGGCTTGGATCACTGCAGACAGTCTTATTACTCCTACAAGCTTTAGTGTGCTGGGAGGATCATTAGGCTTTGCTGTACAGAAGGCCAATATCAGTGGTCTGGAGGATTTTCTAGTCAAAGACTTCTGGGAAACAGAATTTCAGTGCAATGAGACAAACAAAGAGATTATTTTAAACTCTTGTAAAGAAAAACAGGATTTAGCTGTGCTGAGAAATGATGATGATGATGTGGCAGAGCTGAGATACTCAAGCAATATCTACAAAGCTATCTATGCTGTAGCTCATTCTTTGCACAGCATCCTCAAGTGTTCAGACAGTAAAGGATGTAAAAAGGCTTTAGAGGTTAAGCCTTGGGAGGTAAAAATAATAAATTTACAGTTTTGTTTGTAGTGTCATAACTCACCCTGCTGAAATCAACAAAACTAAGAAACACTTAAATTGATCTTTTTTCAGGTAGTGGAGGCTCTAAAGCAAGTGAATTTCACCATTAAGAATGGGGACCAGGTGTGGTTTGATCACACAGGAGCAGCAGTTGCAAAGTATGAAGTGGTGAACTGGCAGCATGGATCAGATGGTTTGGTCCAGTTTAAACCAGTTGGCTACTATGATGCTTCCCTGCCTTCTGGGCAGATGTTTGTTCTTAACACAAAGGCTATAATGTGGCCTGGAGGAAGCAAGGAGGTAAACATTCAAACTGATCCTAACATCTAGCAGAACAAGCCTGAAAATATTTGTGCTTGAATGACTGCCTTAAAATATTGACATTGTGTATGTTTTTTTTTTCTTTTTTCTTTGTACAATGAAGTCGCCTGTTTCAGTATGCAGTGAAAGCTGCCGGCCTGGAGCTCATAAAGTCCTTCTAAAAGGAAAGCCTGTTTGCTGCTATGACTGTATCCCATGTCCGGTTGGGGAAATTAGCAACATAACAGGTACTACTCTGCTGAGTTATAATAATTTGCATACACTATTTGCTTGTTACAGTATATGTATCCTTTTCAAATCTGCTATAATACACTCCCTCATAAACATTATCAGGATGTGATCAATTAAATTGCAATAACATATTTTTTTTATTACAGATTCTATTGACTGCAGAAAGTGCCCTGAAGCATATTGGCCCAATCAGAACAGAGATGCATGTATACCTAAAAATATTGACTTTCTCTCCTTCAGTGAGGTTATGGGCAAAATACTTGTGTTTTTTACTTTGTTTGGTGTGTTTCTTACAGTAATAGTAGCAACTCTATTTCTGATTTACAAAGACACCCCACTTGTGAAAGCAAACAACTCTGAGTTGAGCTTCTTGCTGCTCTTCTCGTTGTCTTTGTGTTTCTTGTGTTCTTTGACCTTCATCGGCCAGCCCTCTGAGTGGTCCTGCATGCTGCGACACACAGCTTTTGGCATCACCTTTGTCCTCTGTATCTCTTGCATTCTAGGGAAAACAATAGTTGTTTTAATGGCCTTTAAAGCAACACTTCCAGGCAGCAATGTGATGAAATGGTTCGGACCTTCACAGCAAAGACTCACGGTTTTGTCTTTCACTTTCATACAGGTCATAATTTGCACCCTGTGGTTAACAATAAATCCTCCCTTTCCCTTCAAAAATATGAATTATTATATGGAGAAAATTATTTTTGAATGTGCTCTGGGGTCAACTGTTGGCTTTTGGGCAGTCCTTGGATATATTGGATTTCTTGCTGTGCTGTGTTTTATATTTGCTTTTTTGGCTAGAAAGTTGCCAGACAGCTTTAACGAAGCCAAATATATCACATTTAGCATGTTAATATTTTGTGCTGTGTGGATCACTTTCATTCCAGCATATGTAAGCTCTCCAGGAAAGTTCACAGTTGCGGTGGAGATATTTGCCATTCTGGCCTCAAGTTATGGTATACTTTTTTGTATATTTGCACCAAAATGCTTTATTCTTGCACTAAAACCTGAACTGAACACAAAGAAACACATGTTGGGAAAACTATAGTCTTGGTCAGTTCTATACAAAACAAAATAAATAATTTTTCCCACTGTATAGCTGAATTATTTGTAAACCGCTTATGTTTGCAAAAAAAATGATTTTTTTGTCATAAGTTTTGTAAACATGTACCAAATAACTACAGAAAAACTGTCAATTTTCTATTTAACTTAAAAACTTAAAATTGTACATAAAAAAACTAAAAGGGCAGCATGGGGAAGCAACTGGAAGAGCTGATGCCGCTCAGCGAGCAGGTCCTTGGTTCAAATCCCGGTCCAGGGGCCTTTCTGGGTGGAGTTTGCATGTTCTCTCCATGCATGCATGGGTTTTCTCCAGGTACTCCGGTTTCCTCCCACAGACCAAAAACATGCATGTTGGGCTGATTGGTAACTCTAAATTGTCCATAGGTGTGATTGAGAGAGTGAATGGTTGTTTGTCTCTATGTGGCCTTGTGATGGACTTGCGACCTGTCCAGGGAGTACCCCGCCCCTTGCACAGTGATTGCTGGACTTGTGCACCGGCGACCCCCGTGACCCAAAATGGAAGAAGCAGGTAAAAGATAATGGATGGATGGATAAAAAACTAAAACAAATAAAAATAACAGATTGTTGTTTGTCTTGTTCTTTTTAATGAGCAAACTAGAGATTAGATTAACTGTCATAACTGTTCTTAGAGTGGTGAAGGCTGCACAGAAGACTGTTGGAGTCAGCCTCCCCACCATCACAGACATTTACACCTCTAGATGCAGGAAGAGGGAAGCCTGCATCATGAAGTACCCCACTCACCCAACACACACACTTTGCCCCACTCCCCTCAGGAAGGAGGTTGAGGAGCATTAAGTGTAGAACCACTAAACCGAGGAACAGCTTCTACCCTGAGGCTGATAGACTCATGAATATATAATCAGGATAATCACTGTGAAAAATCACATCATGTTGCTGCTGATCTGTTTCATGTTGATGTGTTCATGCTTGCTCATCTGCTCACACAGACTCATGTTCATGTTTGCTGCTGTTCAACGTAATGTTTTTATGGTATTAGTGCTTATTATGCTATTTTAGTTTATGTTTTTCTTAGTTCATATCTTAGATGTTATCATTGTTTTTCTTTTACATTTTATTGTTGGATGTAACTGGGACCCTATGTACATAATTTCACTCCACCACATGTACCACATGTGGTCCGAACGAGAATAAAGAATCTCTGACTCTGTCTCTCTGACTTACACTAATAATGTAAAAACAATAAAAAAACATTTACAACTATATTGGACATGTTTTCTTGTGCGTGATAGTGCATTTTCACATGTATAGGGATTTTTATTTTCCAATTACTCTGGCTTCCTCCACATTGCAGTCTAACAATGAATTAAAAACATTGCAATTCACCATTCTCCATAGTGCCACTGAATTAACACAAAAACAAAAGTGTCCACATACACGTGCATTTTTTCTAATATAACATTTTATAAACTTTATAAAATGTGTCTTGAAATACTTGGCAACACAAACACACACACACACAAAACCTATTTGTACATAAGCATGAATGCTTTTGGGACACATTTTACTATCCACATACACACATTATTAAACCCCTGGCCACAAACTGCTGATAAAAAAGATGGCACAAAGTGGCTGTCAAAACGGGCCAGAGACGACTTCAGCCACTTCAGCCTCTTCGCCTCTCGTGCTGTGGAGCGCCGGAGCCAGACCGGAGCAGAGCCAGACCGGACCAGTGACGACTTCAGCCTCAGCCTCTCCGGTAAGTCTCGTCGTTTTTCACCGGGGGTGCCTCTCATGCTGTCGGGTGTGGAGTTGACGTGCAGAGAAGCGTAGGAGCAGCGCTGCGTGGTGTTCGAGAGAAGTTCAGAGTTTGCAATGGAGTTGCTGCAGGCCTCCATCCAAACTCACCTGGATAATAATTATTTTTATTCCGGATCACGTTGTTGTTCCTTGTTGACCTGAAACAGGCTAGGACCATGCCTTTCATTTCAGGATGATTTTCTGGCAGCTCACTCTGCTATTTGCTGCGAATTATGTGTTTCTGCCTGTTGGTTCTGGACCCAGCTTCTGTTTCTCATGGGAGCATCCATCCATCTTCACAGGGGGGGGGAGCCCCCTTCAGCCCAACTCAAACTGCAGTTGGGCCACCTTGTTGGATTGGTTGCCCATTTGATATGTGATGTTTTATGGTTTGAGATGTTTCTGCACCATTCATATTATTGTCATTATTTTCAGATCTCAGACTATCTGGAGTCACTGAATCTTGTTACTACACCTGGATCTGCCCATCACTGCAACTTTCACTGTCTTTGTGTTCTGAATGATTGCGTGTTCATTAATATTTCTCATGGGCCGATTAGGGGGGCTAATCGTCACACTGTTAACTCCTGTAATTACACATCAGTCACAAAAAACTGAAGAAAATGTATAATAATAATGTTGTTACTGCTGTCAGGGATTCAGCCCAACCCTGGACCCCCTACTAATTACAGCACACCAAATGACTTCAAAAACATGTCAGGACTTCATTTTCTGCATGTGAACACACTTATAGCCTTCTGAAAAAAACTTGATGCCTTGAAAATTCTGGTCAGTTCTTCTGGGGCAGATGTAATCTTCATCTCTGAAACCTGGCTCAACAAATCTGTACTGAAAAAATGACCTGGCAATCAATGGATTTAACATCTACCGCTGTGATCATCAAAAAAAAAAAAA